GGGAGGATGCCAGGGGGATGGGAGCAGTCTTTTTTCAGTGGTGCCCAGTGATAGGACGAGGGGTAATGGGCATAAACTTGAACATAGGAAGTTCCATCTTAACATGAGAAGGAACTTCTTTACTTTGAGGGTAGTGGAGCACTGGCACAGGCTGCCCAGAGAGGTGGTGGAGTCTCCCACTCTGGAGACATTCAAAACCCGCCTGGACGCCGTCCTGTGCAACCTGTTGTAGGTGACCCTGCCCTGGCAGGGGGGTTGGACTAGATGATCTCCAGAGGTCCCTTCCAACCCTGACCATTCTGTGATTCTGTGACTGTGTATCCTGGTGTTTATTTCCCTGGGTTCACTCCATATCCCAAAATACAATAAAGGATTTTTAGTGGAGCAAGTAAACGAAAATTTAATGAGTAAGACCTAGCATAAAAGAATACTTGGGGTATTAGACAATCGTTTTCAGATTTTTGACATATTAACCTTTACCTTTTGAGAGCGATCTCCAGTTCTTAATGTAAAGATTATCCTAGCCCCTTACATTTCAGCACTCTCCAGGCAGTTATGTTTTCTTCCCGTCTCTTATTCTCTTATTCTCTTCCCCTTCTATCAAATTTGCTCCATACAAAGGTGTTTACATCATCTAATACAGCTTTGTGTGACAGAGGTCAGTTATGTATTTATCAAACAAATTAGTTTGCATAATCATCCCAAAAGGCATTCAGTCATGATTTAAAGATTTCAGTGATGAATGGTTCATTACTACTTGTTTCTAGCTTTTTTTCAGTTGTTAATCAACCTCATTATGTCTTCTAATTTGAATTTGTCTGTCTTACTTTCTACACAGAGTTTATTGATATCTTTCCATGTATTCCCTTCCAGTGGAGGTAATAATAGACTGTGATGAGTACATCTTTCACACATCTTTTTGATAGACTGAACAGATTGAGTTTGAGCATTTTGCCAGAGGACATTTCTTCTTTCAGAAGTTTTGCTGGTTTCTGCTTTCTGTTCAGTTTTTCAGAATCATTCTTTTAAAATCTGGACACCAGAACTAGATACCATATCAGAATATAAGTCTTTTAAGTCCCATGTACAGTGGTATACCCATCGTCTAGCTTCTGGTTTTGCTGCAACTTTTTATGTTCCTTTCATGGCCAAGCATAATTTGACGTCAGCTTGAGTTGTAGCTTCCCCATAATATTTGCACATGTATACTTTAAAGAAAGACTTTCTCAGTTCTGTAAATTTGTTTTCTAGAAATTTTTTAACAGTAAATCGTTTTCTTCTGTCATCTTTAACACTCGCATATTTATTATAGGGCCAGCATTTTATGCATACAATGATGCAATTTTCACCCCTGAGGACTGGCATGGTATACAGGAAATAGCAAGAAGCAGGAAGAAAGATGACCCCCTGAAAGTTGGCAGATTTGGAATTGGCTTTAATTCAGTTTATCATATAACAGGTACTCTCAGTAGATATTTTAAAATGAAAATGTTGAAGTTTTAAAATTGTTTAATTATTTTAGGTCTTCATCAAACATTTAGTATTTTATCTATAGTGCATTTTTAAATTAGAACCCTGGCTAAGTTTCCTGAAGAAATGTTCCTATTTTTCTAAAACTTTGGAAGGTGTACTTTGGATTTTGAAGGTTTTTGGAGGAGATTTTTCTTCTAGTAACATCATTATGTCCGTAGTCCCTTATATTGAAGTGGACGTTCCTTTACACTGTCATTTCAGTTATACGCTGCTATTCATATTATAGAGGCCCGTAATATAGGGTAGATACGCAAGTAGAAGTGTGGAAGTTTAGACTAGACTGAAACTTTTATGCAGGTTCTTTGCATAATAAGCAGTGATTTTATTTCATGCTAGAAAGGATATTCCACAATAGAGGTATACAGACATTTACGTTTGAGAGAGAGAGTACGTACTCTTTCTCAAGCTGGTAATATTCAGTCTTGAAACCTATTGTTCTGGTAAAAGTGTTTTACTGCTGTACAAGAGAAGCATATAGCATAAATTGTGCTTAGAGTCTACATAGTAATTATAATAGTGCAGGATAAGAGGCAAATTTTTGCTGAAATAACATTTTTTAACTTGTGAAGAGAGTTTTTAAGACACAGGATGTTTTTTCACAATATTTGATCTAGTAGAGCATGAATAAAAGCTTAATATGTTCAGTGGTTTGATAATTCTGAGAATTTATGGTTTTAAATGTATAAGATTACTGTTTGCAAGCCTTCAAGATCTGCAAAGTAGGAATGTGATAGAATACATCTTTAGTAAAATAGTTTTTCATGAAAATATTGGAAAGATAAAAGGATAGAGTTGAAAAAAATTATACTTTTTGTTGCTCACTGTTTGCTAAAATTCAAATAGGTAAGTATTTCTATTTTTAATTGCAGAATAGGGGTGTGCGTGTTCTCTCAATGAGCACTGAATTATATGGTATCAGATTGATGCTAGGTTCATAACTTTTTTTTCTTGCCCCTTTAAAATTTGTTCCTTAAGACTGTATTTGGAAACTATGTTGTTTTACGATTATTAATAGCTGTTGTTCTTTGTGTATACAGATGTCCCTAGTATTTTCAGTGGTGACCAGATTGGAATGCTTGATCCCCATCAAACCCTTTTTGGACCTCATGAATCAGGCCAGTGTTGGAATCTAAAAGAAGACAGCAAGGAAATCAATGAACTTACAGACCAGTTTGCACCATTCATTGGTGTATTTGGCAGCACTAAGGAAACCTTTAAGAATGGAAACTTTCCTGGTACCTTTTTTCGTTTCCCTCTTCGTCTGCAGCCTTCCCAACTGAGCAGCAATGTTTACGACAAACAAAAGGTTTTGGAGCTGTTTGAATCCTTCAGAGCAGATGCAGACACAGTATTGCTCTTCCTGAAGAGTGTTCAGGATGTTTCATTGCATGTTAGGGAAGCTGATGGAACCGAGAGGCTGATTTTTAGAGTAACAGCTAGTGAGAACAAGGCCTTGAAACACGAAAGACCCAATTCTATCAAGATCTTAGGAACTGCGATAAATCAATATTGTAAGGGAGTTCCAAGCAATAGCATAACATGTGTGACATACCATGTAAATATAGTTGTAGAAGATGAGAGTGTTAAGGATGCACAGAAAACATCTTGGTTAGTGTGTAATTGTGTGGGTGGTCGAGGAATGTGTACTGAACTGGATTGTTTAGCTGATGACTTGAAATTTGTTCCTACTATTGGAATAGCCATGTCTTTATCAAGTAACGGGGAGGAAAAAGGAGCTGTAGCAGACTTTTCAGGAAGAGCATTTTGTTTTCTGCCTTTGCCTCCAGGTGAAGAAAGCAAAACTGGACTCCCAGTACATGTTAGTGGTTTCTTTGGTCTTACAGACAATAGGAGGAGTATCAAATGGCGAGAGCTGGATCAATGGAGAGATCCAGCAGCTTTGTGGAATGATCTTCTTGTGGTGAATATAGTACCAAAGGCATATACCACCCTTATATTGGAAGCTATCAAACGAATGGAGACTGAGAAGAATTCCGATTTTCCATTGTCAGCTGAAATAATTTATAGGTTATGGCCTGATGAGAACAAAATCAGGGTACCTTGGAAACCAATTGTAGTACCTCTCTTTAAAGAGCTGCTCCAGCATACAGTTATTTACTCAATGAGTAATCAGTGGATACAGGTGGAACAGGTGCACTTTTCTGAAATGGATGAAAGTTTGGAGTACACACAGTCTGTTCTCAACTACCTCCAGAAATCAGGGAAGCAGATTGCCAAGGTACCAGCAAATATTGCTAGTGCAGTGCATCTTACTATTTCTACTGCTAAAGCTGTGAAAAAAGTGACTCCTGCTGTAGTACGGCAAGTACTAAGGAAATCTGGACACAGTGGACCTGCTGAAGAAAAGCTTCATCTTTTAGAATTTGTGCTTTCTGATGGAGTCTACAGTGAACTGATTGGGTTGGAGCTTTTACCATTACAGAATGGAAATTTTATTCCTTTTTCCTCATCTGTGTCAGAACAGGATATAGTTTACATAACCTCAGAAGAATATCCCAGGTATACTTAATATTTTAAATACTGTTTTTTTAGTTTAAATGCTAAAACAGAGCTTCAGACTGTTATTTGCTTATCAGCAGACAAGATTATATACAGCAGCCTGTAATGTAATGAATTAATGCATAAACAGGACTCAGTTTTCTTTATACATGTATGTTTGTGTGCATATGTCTCATTTGAGAAGTCTGACAGCTACTTGCCATTATAAGTTTATAAAGAATCATGTGGTCTAGGCTTTAGGGGAATACCTCAGGATATATTTCAAATTAGCTTTCTTTCGAGAATTATAAACAGGAGGAGGTTAGAAACATGCATACTAGGAAGTACATTAAATTAGGTATTGATAAGAGCTTTTATTAAACTAAGCTTGAGATTATTTCATGCTTTTTTTTTTTTTTTTTAACACAACGCCCTTACTTTTAGTGAAGGGCTTAGTACTAAACTCTTACTGGTTTTAGGAAGTAAAAAGATACTACCATGGAAAGAAGTGAGCTTGTCTGCTCATCTGCTCTCCCTTTGTTCTTTCTAGTCCCTCCCCAATTAATTTTTTTGTCCTTGCTTATTTCCCAGCTGCATCAATGTTCCAATTAGGTTCACATTTCATCTGCCAAAAAAGCTTGCACTGACACTGGGTAGGGGATAGGAAAGAGCAGGATAGCTGGAATAAGTGACTGGGGTCACTGGGGAGAAAGCATGACTACTGCTTTTTATGTCTGTACTGGATTATGCACGTATAAAAGATTTGTAAAATCTGGACCCTTCTCCAAGTAATCTCTTATGAGGTACTGCTTGAAGTCACTCAGACACACCAGATGTCTTACCTATAGCTGTTCCTCGTCACAAAGTGTTACCTGCATGTATGTTCACAACCACCCCTCCTTCTCCTTTCCCTCAGAGTTCCACTAATTTTCAACTTGAGAGAATATGACACTTGGCATGTGCTTTGCTGCTTTTACTGCCCCATGGACTGTTTATAAGGGAAGTAGAGGTGGGTTGGAGTGTGCTGATATAGATATTATCAAGGTGAAAAGTGGTCCAAGTAAGGTCCTTATATAAATTGTGGTTTGAATATATGTATAGACAACACATCTTCAAGAGAAGCAGTTGGATGCAGGTAACTGGTCTTCCCATGTTGCTTGAGAGAGGTTTGCTTTTTTTCAAGTCTGCTGCTGTTCTTTTTCTATTTTATTCTAAACCCAGAATCTTCTTGTTCTAGAGAATTCAGGTTATTTATCAGAGGATTAACAGTACTCAGAGCCTGTGATTCTTGTGTCGTCTTTAAAAAATAATAAAAAAAAATTCTGTGGCATCTGTTGTGAGACTATTTATCTTTTGCTATTCTTTCACGTTTTTTCTCCTTCCAGAAGTTAAGCCAGTATAATAATACACAAAACATTCCCATGATCAGACTAGCGAATTAACAGCCTTGCTTCAGACTAGTCATAAGATACTTTTTTTGGCATTTAATGATACCACTGTATCTTACTCAGTTCGTGTTCTGTTGCTAATGGACTTAGTTTGGTTAGTCATGTAGAACTGATACAAAAGCATGTTATACCAGGCATAAATCTACTTGCTAGCTATGATAATACAGAAATCTGAGATAGCAATGCTTTATTTGCATCTGTTCTTGCCTACAGTCATTGTTTTTAGTTCTAATGTTATAAATATGATAAATGAGTCAGACTAGATATTTTAAAACACTTTAAACTTAAGAGTTTGGCTCTTTGCGTATTCAAATTTGGAGCCTGCTTAAAAAGCTGAAATAAACTTATGAATTTCTTTCTGTTAACACCTGTGGAAGAACAGGAAAGATTCTGTGTTGGTTTATGTATAACTAACATGCCTGCTGTCAGAATTAAACTCGATAGTTATTTTTTATTTCAGGAAGAGCAAAGCCCTAAAAAACTATTTAGTTTTAAGGGCTAACATAAAGGAAGGGGAGAGGGAAGGGCAGAATGCGACTGACTCTTGGCTACAATAATTTTAACCCCTGTCTGCAGACCTTTTGGAATCCAGAGATCTTTTAAAGTTCTAGAATTACATGTTGTATTTGTATGCTTTCAAAATAGAATCTTTAAGACATGTAGAACAGTGGGTGCTATTTTATCTTTTTTTTTTGTTAGAATACAAATAGATGAAAATAATTTTCTAAACCCAGTTTTTCTATCAAAAGAAAACTTGCTTAGACCTGCTTTGAAAAGAAGAATAGTTGGAAAAATTAGTTTCTTACTACTCTCTGCTTTTAAATGTATGATTTTCTCATTTATAAGAAAACGCCCACTGAAAGCCCAATTCTGCATATGTAAGCAATTGCTTTGCATGCGACTGTCTTACCATGATGATTACTATGCTGGTAATTTCTGTGCAGCAACTTAAATAAATTAGATGCTTAGCTAAAGTATGTTTTGGGTTTTTTCCTTTTTTTTTTTTTTTTTTTTTTTTTTATTGGTTTGTTTAGTTCCCTTTTTCTTGCCCTGGAGGCTGATGACCTGAAGCCTGAGGTTCTAGCTGCTTTGAAAGAAGCTGCCAAAAGCCGAGGTAATGTATCTTTTGTGTTATCATATAGTGAAACAGATTGCTAATGGCTGAACAGGCTAGTTCTAAACCCAAGCTTAAAGCAATGCCTTTTTTTGAAACTGAGTTCACATAAATAAATTGGTCATCTAAAAAAAATGTCGAAGATAGGACAGACTATGTTGTTTGAATTGGAAATGACACAAATGAAAGTTATAAATGAAGGAAGAGGCAAAGGCAAGGGAAGAAGGATGAAAATTTGCAGTAAAAGACCAGATATTCACTTAGTGAAGCATGTATTCAAGGTTCAGTAATTTTGTGCAAATAATATTCCTCCAGTTAAGACAGTCTGAATTCTATTTTGTGTTTGTAGTATCTGTATATGCAATAGCTATGCCATGGTTTTGGTATTGTGGATGATCTCTTATCTTACAATCACAAGTGATCACATCATTGAGGTTTTTTTAAAACCAGATGAAACTATCTTAAGCATCTAGCCTCAAGGATACTGCAGACCATATAGTTTCATCAAGTGTTCCCCGAGTCTTAATTCATAGTTTATGGTTGTGTCAATGTGGACCTGCTGAAATACTTCCAATCTTGATCAAAAGACTTGGTGAAGAAGTTTGCTGCATCTGTTGAGAAGATGTTTCTATCTTTAACTGCCTTCATAATTAATTTTTTTGGCCTCTTTTCTACTCAGAGTTTGTATTTACCTTTCCACTCTTACATTTAATTATGTGTTTGATTGATAAATTTGAAGTCTGAGTCTCAGAAGTCTTCTCATGTAAACACAATTTCCAAAGAAGTCACTCCAGCTTATTTTTAAATAGTATGAGTATGTGGTGCGCTACTTTATTCTTCAATGTCTAGAAAATGAACTTTACAGAAAAAGATCCTTGTCTCTCTTCTTTTTTTTTAAATTGCTGAATTTATCAGAATGTGTTTGTAGACTGAAGAGATTAGAACCAGACATAGAATACTATAAACCATTGTGTTGATTTGCTTTTCTTGTTACCCTTTATCATGGTTTCCAGTCATTGAGTCACAGTCTCTATTTCTTCAGTCTGTGTTCTGACCTTTTTTCCCCTGAACTCCTTTATATGTTCTCTGTTTGTTATTCTTCCTGTTCAGTTGGAAGCCTACTCATTTCTCCATGGTTTGATCATTACTTCATTATCAAAAATAGAAAAGCTAAGGTGATAAATTTTTGAAGTATGGCAAAGCATCTATGAAAAAATGAAAGAACTGGGAGTGACTTGTTGCACAGAGTAAACTGTGAATATTTAAAATAATGTAAATTATATAGAAGATATGAAATCAGTGCTGTGACTTTCATTGAATAAGAAGAACAGCAAGTCTGAAATGACTATAAAGAAAACCTTTGTTCTAAAAAGCAGAATTGTCAAAGCCTTATGGGCATATTATATGATGGGTGTTGTCTATTGTGGTAGAATATGCTTGTTTAATTTTTTTCACTGTTAATTTCCCTAGTACTGTTTTTAATTTATGTTGTTTTGTTTTAATACAGACTATAAACTGTTGAAAGTAGTGTGAAAGTACTTGAAATTATGTATCTAAACAGTGAATATTCTTAATCTTGGATAGAACCATAAAGAACTACTGTTGAGTAGTAATTGCTGGGACTTCAAAAGAACAGAAATATATAGGGATCAAGACAGCCACAGTGAGATTAGATGGATGAGAATTTGTGTGGAAGACAGGAATGTTAGCTTTGAAAAATCCCAGTTCTTCATGATGATACCTTAAATTGACTTTCCAGATGTATTGTCCTAGACAGTTTCCTCCAAGTGCATGTCACAAAGCAGTCTAAAACCATGCTTAACTGAGCAAAACAAAATATAGGTTTGACAGACTATATGCTTGAACGCATCTTAAACAGAAAAAGCAGAGGTGACTAAAATGAAAAAAACCCTATGTATTCATAGGGTTTTCATTCAACTTCTTACTGAGTTATTCTAGGACATTCCGTCATTCCTAGGCGTGGTCTCTGCGTTGCAACAAAGTCTTTCTAGTCTTTTTAGTTCCTGAGAAGATTTTTGGTCACATTTGAGATCTTGCTTCTGTCTCTCTTATTCCTCTGACGGTTTCTTTGGATGACATTTTTATAGGAACTTGTTCTTGGTTGATAGTATGCCTCTTATTGGTTAGAAGAAACAATACATTTACATTTGTAAATGAATATGACAAGTATAATTCTTCTGAATCTTCTAGAAATGCCTAAGGACTTTTAGATAATCCTTTGCAACATTGCCGTGGCCTACTTTTCATTCTAGCTCCTCCTAAATTATTCTTTGTTCTAAGATTTTGCATAATTGTAAAGTACAACTGCAGTACCATCAAAGTTGTAAGTTGTTATAAATAATAAGTATTGGAGGGTTTTTTTGCAGGTTTTGAAACTTCACCTGTCAAGAATGTTACTTATTTAGCTGTAGAAATTATATCAGAGAGATTCCTGATACAGTTGCAGAAATAGAAACTTTCTAGTATTGTTTCTTTGGGAAGATGGGATGGAAGATGGGATGATGGGATGGAATTTTTTTTTTTATTGTGTTGTACAAAGACAACCAGATCTTATTTTTTCTCTCCTAAAATGTGTACTGTACTTTGCTAGTTAATAACTGTTTCTGTATTTAGTATGTTAATGTGTAACTCACAAGATGTTTTCTAAAAATGGATTTGATTATATTCTAGCCCAACAGCTTCTCTGGGGATTTTCAGGTATGGTTGTTAACTGAAGAGGTACTGGTTTGGATTGAAGCTTGGTATTTGTGTGAATTTGGTGATTAGCTATTCTTATTACCCCAGCTTTCTTGTAAAGAAAACTTGCCAAATAGAGCTGCCAAAATATAGCTACCAAAGACAATTATGAAAAGAGTTCTAAATACAGTTCAGGGGGAAATGCACATTGATGAAGAAAACATTGTAGTTATGTTACACAGAAATAATCAATGTTTTCTCTTTTTTAATATGCTTTTTAATAAATTCCCATGCCGTAGGAGGATTTCCAGTATTTTAAGATCACATGTATAGATTTTAAAACAGTATTTCTAAAGTGCTGTGTTCAAGTAATGGGATTTAAGCTTAGCTTTTAAGTAGATTTTTATCTCACTGGCCCACTGCTGCAAGTATTTCTCACTGTCACAAGGCTGCTGTGTTTACCTGTGTTTTCTGTTCAACAGAACTAACAGAATGCGTAGCTCTGTAGGCATGAAGTGAAATGAAAAAATTTTTTTTTCTGAAGGATGTCTTGCTACAGATTTGCAGGAGAGCAGGGACTGTAGATAGTATCTTTAATTGTACTGGTGCTTTTAAGGAAATAGCAGTGCTATCTAGATGGAAGAAAGATCTGAAATTCAAACAGATGTCTTGCTTCCATTTTTGTCATTGTTTTTGACGTTGTTGGGAGGTAGTGGTATTTTTATATTCTGTACTATTTTCTTACCCCTAGACATGCTGTTGTTTTCAAGTATAATCTGTCATAATGATAATTAAGACACAACTTTGATAATAAGAATAAAAGCATATATATCTAAACTTAGTTTCAAGTCTTTGCACGACTGAGTTTTGTTGCTTGTCAGTTTTAGTGTAAGATCATCTGCACCTGAGCTGCTCTTTGCTATATGTAATAAATTACCTTTCAAATCTGTTTGAATCTGCAATTATAAACAAAGAAGTAATGGATTAGATTCTTATTTAGGCAAATAGGTAGCGTAAAGACTCAACCAAACAAAAAAAACCCAAACATTTGAAGCTTCTACTTTGATTGTAAATCCATAGTTGCTATGTATGCCTGAGAACTCTTGTGTCAAACTAACAAATGTGATAACATATTGATCATTTTCAATTTGGTTTTATTTTATACTAATATGGAATGTATTTGCTTTTAATTAACTCCTAAAACCAAGGGGAAGTGGTATCTGCAGTTCTATTTAACAAACAGTTTTTTCCACAAAAAGAAAAGGTAGGGCACAAGTTAGATCCCCGCCCTGTTTTTCTTGCCTCTCCCCCCAACCACAGGCACATTGTTATCTAACTCTGCTCTGTGATTTTCATGGCTTTGCCCTTTTGCTATAATTTCAGGAAGGCCATGCACTCAGCTGCAGCTTCTGAACCCAGAAAGATTTGCCCGGCTCATTAAAGAAGTTATGAATAGCACGTGGCCTGGCAGAGACATGGTCGTACAGTGGTATCCAGGTTTGGAAGACAAAAATCACCCATCAGTTTCCTGGTTTAAGATGGTCTGGAAGAACCTGTATATACATTTTTCTGATGACTTGAGTGTGTTTGATGACATGCCGCTTATCCCCAAGACACTGCTGGAGGAAAACCAAACATCAGTGGAACTGGTTAGATTTAGAAATCCATCACCCATCATTCTGGAAGATGAATCTGAGAGTCAGCTCCCGGAATATTTAGCTGATATTATTCAGAAAGTTGGTGGAGTCGTACTTGAGAAGCTAGATATATCTATCCAACATCCACTTATAAAAAAATATGTGCATCCACCATTACCAAGTGCTGTTTTACAAATAATGGAAAAAATGTCCTTACAGAAACTGTGCAGTCAGGTTGCATCATTCCCATCAACACATAAAGATGCTCTTAGGACATTCCTAGCTAGTTTAACTGATGCAAGTGAAAAAGAGAGAAGAATTATTCAGGAATTGCTAATATTTAAAAAAATTGAAAAATCATCTGATGAAAGTATCCCTGTTTATACTGGGCTAAAAGGTAGTAAGGTATTACACCACACTGCCAAAATTCCTCCTGGTCTAAGATTTTCTATTCCAATAATTGACAGCAGTGATGAAGCTACTATTCGCTTAGCTAACCTGCTGAAAATAGAACAGCTGAAGAGCACAGATTGCTTGAAATTTGTTATACAAGACATAAAAAGTGATTTTTATTCATATGATGAAATAACGCAGATAATGCAATGGGTTCTTGAAAATCTGACTTTTCTGAAAAATGAGAATACAGATGTGATAGATTGGCTAACATCACTAAAGTTTATTAAGATTTCACAGGAAAAGATAATGTCAGCAGATGAACTCTTTGATCCTGAGGTAGAACTTCTGCAAAATTTGTTTTATGCTGAGGAGGAAATTTGCTTCCCCCCTGTTATTTTTACATCTTCAGATATTCTTCATTCTCTGAGACAAATAGGCTTGAAAAATGAGGCCAATCTTGAGGAAAGTGATATTATGAGAGTGGCAAATAAAATTGAAAGTTTGCATGCTGACTCCAACACTGATCATGACTTACTGTTAAGAAAAGCTAGAACTCTCTTGATGGTTTTGAACAAAAACCATACGCTGCTTCACTCATCTGAAACAAAAGCTGCACTGAAAAAAATAAAATGGATCCCTGCATGTAAGGAAAGACCTCCAAATTATCCAGGGTCCTTGGTTTGGAAAGGAGACCATTGCAATCTGTGTTCACCGCCAGAAATGTGTGATATATCTCATGCAATTTTAGTTGGTTCCTCAGTTCCTCTTGTGGAAAATGTGCTGTTGGATACAGAAAAGGCACTTGGGATCCTCACCAAGCCCAGCATAAAAGCAGTCTTGAAACATTTCAAGGTCGTGGTCGATTGGCACAGTTCTAAAACCTTCAGTGATGAGGACTATTATCAATTTCAGCATATCTTGCTTGAGATTTATGGATTTATGCACGATCATCTAGAAGAAGGCAAAGAAGCTTTTAAAGCCCTGAAATTTCCCTGGGTTTGGACAGGTAAAACATTTTGTTCCCTCACACAAGCAGTAATAAAGTCAGTACCTGATCTTGATCTCCAACCATATCTACATTATGTGCCAAAAACGATGGCGAAGTTTCACCAGTTGTTTAAATGTTGTGGTTCAATTGAGCAGTTAACACCAGACCATGTTTCTATGGTCATTCAGAAAATATATCTAAGAAGTGAGCAGTCTCTCTCGGAACAAGAGAGTAAACAAAATCTTCACATTATGTTGAGCATCATAAGATGGCTGTACAGCAATCAGATTCCTGCAAGTCTGCATACACCCATGCCACTATACAGTGGCAAACTTCCTTATAAACTTGCGATGAGGCCAATTCATGAGTGCTGCTACTGTGATATCAAAGTTGATGACTTAAACGATTTGCTTGAAGATTCTGTTGAGCCAATAATTTTGGTGCATGAAGACATACCAATGAAAACCGCTGAGTGGTTAAATGTCCCATGCCTTAGCACAAGATTGATTAATCCAGAAAATATGGGATTTGAGCAATCTGGACAAAGAGAGCCTCTGACTGTAAGAATTAAAAACATTTTGGAAGAATACCCTTCCATTTCAGATATCTTTAAAGAGCTTCTTCAAAATGCTGATGATGCTAATGCAACAGAATGTAATTTCCTGATTGACATGAGAAGAAATATGGATATAAGAGAGAATCTTCTGGATCCAGGAATGGCAGCGTGTCATGGTCCAGCTTTGTGGTCATTCAATAATTCTGAATTTTCTGACTCTGATTTCCTAAATATAACTCGATTAGGAGAGTCTTTAAAAAGGAGTGAAGTTGACAAAGTAGGAAAATTTGGACTGGGATTCAATTCTGTCTATCATATCACTGATGTTCCTATTATTTTGAGCCGGGAGTTCATGATTATGTTTGATCCAAATGTTAACCATATCAGTAAGCACATTAGAGATAAATCTAACCCTGGGATCAAAATCAACTGGAGTAAACAACAGAAAAGGCTGCGAAAATTTCCCAATCAGTTTAAGCCATTTATAGGAGTTTTTGGTTGCCAGCTGCCACTGACTGTGGAATCTCCTTACAGCTACAAAGGAACTCTTTTCAGCCTGTCAAAAAAAATACAGCAGACATTTACTCTCTTGTGGATGAATTTAGCATTTGTGGTCATAGACTGATAATATTTGCTCAGAGTGTAAATTCAATGGTTTTGAAATACTTGAAAATTGAAGCAGATGATCCTGGGGTGGCACAAGATGTTGTTACGATCAAAAAAAATCTGTGTTCTTCCAAAGCCTTGACTGCACCAAATGTAAGTGTTTTAAAGGAAGCAGCTAAACTCATGAAGGTCTGCAGCAGCAGTAATAAAAAGCTTCCCACTGAAACACCAAAGTCCTCGTGTATCTTACAGATAGTAGTAGAAGAATTTCACCATGTGTTTAGGCGGATCGCTGATTTGCAGTCTCCGCTTTTCAGAGGTACAGAAGATGATCCAGCTTCTTTCTTTGAAATGGCTAAATCGGGGCAGATAAAAAGATCAGGTGATGAATTGCCACAGAAAACAGTAGATTCAACAACATGGCTTATATGTTCTTGCATGGACACTGGAGATGCTTTAAAATTTTCATTACATGAAAGTGGACGAAGACTAGGTCTTGTTCCATGTGGTGGAGTAGGAGTGTTGTTGTCTGAAACCCAGGATCAAAAGTGGATTGTGAAACCTAATTGCAACAACATAGGTGAAGTATTCTGCTATTTACCTCTACGAATAAAAACAGGCTTACCTCTTCATATAAATGGCTGCTTTGCAGTTACTTCAAATCGGAAAGAGATCTGGAAAACAGACACAAAAGGAAGATGGAATACAGTATTCATGAGGCATGTTATTGTAAAAGCCTACATAGAAGCACTTTGTGTTCTACGTGACATGGCAATCAATGGCGAGCTAGTTGACTACAGTTACTGTGCAGTGTGGCCAGATCCTGATTCAGTTCATGATGATTTTTCTGTTATTTGTCAAGGGTTTTATGAAGACATAGCTCACATGAAAAGCAAAGAAGGGATCAAAGTGTTTTCTGATGGTTTCTCTTGGGTTTCCATGAAGAATGTAAGGTTTTTAGATGACTCAATACTGAAACGACCAGATGTTGGACCATCAGCCTTTAAGATCTTTCTGAAGTACCTTAAAAACACTGGTTCCAAAAATCTGTGTGCTGTAGATCTCCCATCCTGGGTAAAAACAGGATTTGAAGAAGCAGGATGCAAATACATATTATTGGAGAACACTTACTCTGAGAAACAGTTCTTTTCTGAGGTATTTTTCCCTAATGTTCAGGAGATTGATGCAGAGCTGCGTGATCCTCTGATGCGTTATGTTCTCAATGAAAAAGTTGAGGAGTTCTCAGGAATTCTTCGTGTTACTCCATGTATTCCCTGTTCGTTGGATGGACATCCATTAGTTACACCATCAAGGCTGATTCATCCTGAAGGAAGAGTTGCAAAGTTATATGATGCTGAAGATGGAAGATTTCCTTATGGCACCACTCAGGATTATCTTAACCCCATTATTTTGGTTAAACTTGTTCAGTTGGGAATGGCTAAAGACGATATTTTATGGGAAGATCTGATAGAACGTGCAGAGTCAGTAGCTGAAATTAACAAGGTTGATCATGCTGCAGCTTGTCTTAGAAGCAGTATTATAGTGAGTCTGATTGATGAAAAACTAAAATCTAGGGACCCTAGAGCTAAAGAATTTGCTGCGAAGTGTCAAACCATCCCTTTCCTTCCTTTCCTTAGCAAACCAGCAGGCTTCTCACTGCACTGGAAAGGCAGTGATTTTCAGCCTGAAGCAATGTTTTCAGCAACTGATCTTTTCACTGCTGATCATCAAGATACAGTTTGCCTCATACAACCAATTCTTAATGAAAATTCCCACTCCTTTAAAGGTTGTGGTGCTTTGTCATTAGCTGTCAAAGAATTTTTGGGTTTACTGAAGAAACCAGCTGTTAATTTGGTCATAAATCAGCTAGAAGAAGTTGCAAAGTCATTTGATGGAATCACATTATATCAAGAAAATATCACCAATGCTTGTTACAAATACCTACATGAAGCAATGTTACAGAATGAATCAACAAAAGCTATGATAATTGAACAACTGACAAACTGTAGTTTTATTCTGGTTGAGAATGTGTATGTTGATCCAACAAAAGTGTCTTTTCATTTGAATTTTGAAGCAGCACCCTACCTCTATCAGTTGCCAAATAAATATAAAAATAGTTTCCGTGAGCTATTTGAAAGTGTAGGTGTAAGACAGGCTTTTACAGTTGAAGATTTTGCTGTAGTTCTGGAATTAATAAATCAGGAAAGAGGGACCAAACAACTAACAGAAGACAACTTTCAGCTTTGCAGGAGAATAATTAGTGAAGGAATATGGGGCCTCATTAGAGAGAAGAAACAGGAATTTTGTGAGAAAAAATACGGTGAGATTTTGTTACCCGATACTCGTCTTGCACTTCTTCCTGCAAAATCTTTGTGTTACAATGACTGTCCATGGATTAAAGTTAAAGACACAACTGTTAAATATTGTCATGGTGATATTCCAAGAGAAGTTGCAGTAAAGCTTGGAGCAATACCAAAACGCCATAAAGCTTTAGAAAGATACGCATCCAATATCTGTTTTACTACCCTTGGAACGGAATTTGGCCAGAAAGAAAAATTGACAAGTAGAATTAAAAGCATTCTTAATGCTTACCCTTCAGAAAAAGAAATGCTGAAAGAGCTTCTTCAGAATGCAGATGATGCAAAAGCTACAGAGATCTGTTTTGTGTTTGATCCTAGGCAGCATCCAGCAGATAGAATATTTGATGAGAAATGGGCACCACTTCAAGGACCAGCACTGTGTGTTTACAACAATCAGCCTTTTACAGAAGATGATATTCGAGGAATTCAGAACCTTGGAAAAGGTACAAAAGTAGGGAATCCCTGTAAAACTGGACAATATGGTATAGGTTTCAATTCTGTTTATCACATTACCGATTGCCCTTCTTTCATATCTGGCAATGATATACTTTGTATTTTTGATCCTCATGCTAGATATGCACCAGGTTCAACATCAACAAGTCCTGGCCGCATGTTTAGAGATTTAGATGCAGATTTCAGAACACAGTTCTCAGATGTACTGGACCTCTACTTAGGAAATCACTTTAAACTGGATAATTGTACAATGTTTAGGTTTCCTCTTCGAAATGGAGAAATGGCGAAAGTATCAGAAATTTCCTCAGTTCCATGCTCAGATAGAATGGTCCAGAATCTTTTAGATAAGCTGCGTTCAGATGGAGCAGAACTCTTAATGTTTTTGAACCATATGGAAAAAATTTCTATTTGTGAGATAGAAAAAACAACAGGAGCACTGAATGTGTTGTATTCTGTACAAGGTAAAATCACTGATGGAGACAGACTGAAGCGAAAGCAATTCCATGCATCTGTAATTGACAGTGTAACTAAAAAAAAGCAGCTAAGTGAAATACCTGTGCAACAGATTACTTATACAATGGATACTGAAGACTCTGAAGGAAATCTTACAACTTGGTTAATTTGTAACAGGTCGGGCTTTTCTGCTATGGAAAAGGTATCCAAAAGTGTGGTTTCAGCCCACAAGAATGAGGACATTACTCTCTTTCCACGTGGCGGGGTAGCAGCTTGCATTACTCATAATTACAAAAAACCCCACCGAGCATTTTGTTTCTTACCATTATCATTAGAAACTGGACTACCTTTTCATGTGAATGGACACTTTGCTCTGGATTCTGCAAGAAGAAATCTATGGCGTGATGATAACGGTGTTGGCGTAAGAAGTGACTGGAATAGTAGCCTAATGACAGCACTGATAGCACCAGCTTATGTTGAATTGCTGATTCAGCTGAAGAAACGGTATTTTCCAGGCACCGATCCTACAGTTTCAGTGCTTCAAAACACACCTATTCATGTTGTGAAAGACACTTTAAAAAAATTTTTATCCTTTTTTCCAGTTAATAGACTTGATATTCAGCCGGATTGGTATTGTTTAGTGAAAGCAGTTTACAGTTGCATTTATGAAGATTTGAAGCGTCTTTTACCTGTTATGCGAGCTCCAAATATTGATGGTTCTGATTTGCATTCTGCTGTTATCATCACATGGGTTAATATGGCTACTGCTAACAAAGGCAGGCCGTTCTTTGACAATTTACTACAAGATGAATTGCAACATCTCAAAAATACAGAATACAACATCACAACGCGGAAGACAGTGGCTGAAAACGTTTACAGACTCAAGCATTTACTCTTAGAAATTGGATTTAATTTGGTATATAACTGTGATGAAACTGCAAATCTTTACCACTGTTTGGTAGATGCAGATATTCCTGTCACCTATGTGACACCTGCTGATGTCCGATTATTTTTGATGACATTTTCTTTTCCAGACTCTAATTGCCACATTGGAAAGTTACCCTGTCGTCTTCAGCAGACAAATTTGAAACTCTTCCATAGTCTCAAACTTCTGGTTGATTACTGTTTTAAAGATGCAGAAGAAAATGAAATCCAAATTGAGGGGTTGCCACTCCTTATTACTCTTGACAATGTTTTGCAAATATTTGATTCAAAGCGACCAAAGTTCTTAACAACATACCATGAACTGATTCCATCTCGCAAGGATCTCTTTATGAACACATTGTATTTGAGATACAACAATATTTTACTTAGCAGCGAAGTAGCAAAAGTCTTTGATATCAGAAGTTTTGCTGAATTGTTGTCATCTGTGTTACCTAGAGAATATAAAACAAGAAATTGTATGAAATGGAAGGAAAACTTCGCAAGTGAATCTTGGCTTAAAAATGCCTGGCATTTTATTAGTGAGTCCATAAATATTAAGGAAGAGCAAGAGGATACGCAAGCAAAATTTGATGATGTTGTTGAAACTTTGAAGGACTGGACTTTGCTCCCTGGTATAAGGTTTACTGTCTCAGCTAATCATCTTGTTGTGCCAGAGTGTGATGTTTTGCTGCCCCTCAGCATTATGCATATAGCTGTTTTTCCAAATGCTCAGAGTGATAAAGTCTTTCATGCTTTAATGAAAACAGGCTGTATTCAGCTGGCATTGAACAAAATTTGCTCCAAAGACAGTGCTTTAGTGCCTTTGTTGTCAGGATGTACAGCAAATATAGATAATCCTTCAAGCATTCTGAAAGCCATACAATATATGGTACAGACATCGACTTTTAGGACTGAAAAGTTAGCAGAAAGTGACTTTGAGGCTCTCTTAATGTACTTCAATTGCAATTTATGTCATTTGACATCTCAGGATGACATTAAAATTTTAAAGTCTCTTCCATGTTATAAATCAATTAGTGGCCGATACATCAGCATTTCAAAATACGGGACGTGTTATGTCCTCACGAAAAGCATCCCATCAGTAGAAGTAGACAGATGGACACAGTCAACTTCATCAGCTTTTCTTGAAGAGAAGGTTCATTTGACAGATTTGTATACTGTGCTTGGCTGTGTCTCTGTGGATGATCTTGAAGTGTACTTGAAACATCTTTTGCCAAAAATTGAAAGTCTGTCTTATGATGCAAAATTAGAACACCTGATCTACCTAAAGAATAGGCTAACTAGCATTGAAGAAACTTCAGAAATGAAAGAACAGCTGTTTGAAAAGCTTGAAAGCATTTTGATCATTCATGATGCAAGTAATAGATTAAAACCTGCAAAATATTTCTATGACAGGACTGTAAAAGTCTTTGAAGTTATGCTTCCTGAAAAATTCTTTATACCTCAAGATTTTTTTAAGAAACTAGAGCAACTTACAAAACCGAAAAACCAAGCTGCGTTCCTTCCATCATGGGTAACTTTTCTACGACATATCGGATTGAAATTCATCATTTCACAGCAACAGTTACTACAGTTTGCTAAGGAGATCAGCATGCGAGCGAATACAGAAAACTGGTCTAAAGAAACATTACAGAATACTGTTGATGTCCTCCTTCATCACATATTTCAAGAAAGAACTGACCTTTTGTCAGGAAATTTTCTGAAAGAATTGTCATTAATTCCTTTTCTGTGCCCTGAACGAGCACCAGCAGAATTTGTTAGATTTCATCCTCAGTATCAAGAAGTTAATGGAACGCTTCCTCTTATACGATTCAATGGGGCACAGGTGAATCCTAAATTCAAACAGACTGATGTGTTGCAGTTGCTGTGGACTTCATGTCCCATTCTTCCCGAAAAAGCAACACCTTTAAGCATCAAAGAGCAAGAAGGAAGTAGTCTTGGTGCACAAGAACAACTTGAGCAAGTTTTAACTATGTTGAATGTTAATTTGGACCCTCCCCTGGACAAAGTTATCAATAACTGCAGGAACATATGCAATATAACAACTTTGGATGAGGACATGGTGAAAACTAGGGCCAAAGTCCTAAGAAGCATTTATGAATTTCTTAGTACGGAGAAAAGGGAATTCCGCTTTCAGCTTCGAGGAGTTTCTTTTGTAATGGTGGAAGAAGGTTGGAAGCTCCTTAAGCCTGAAGAGGTAGTAATAAACCTTGAGTATGAATCTGATTTTAAACCTTATCTTTACAAACTCCCTTTAGAACTTGGTACTTTCCATCAGTTATTTAAACATTTGGGTACTGAAGATATTATTTCAACAAAGCAGTATGTTGAAGTTCTAGGTCGTATATTCAAGAGCTCAGAAGGAAAGCAGTTGGATCCTAATGAAATGCGCACAGTTAAAAGAGTAGTTTCTGGCCTCTTCAAAAGTCTTCAGAATGATTCTGTCAAGGTTAGGAATGACCTTGAGAATATGAGGGATTTTCCCCTTTACCTTCCGAGTCAAGATGGTAGGTTGGTAAAGTCTAGTATCTTAGTTTTTGATGATGCACCTCACTACAAAAGCAGAATCCAAGGTAACATTGGTGTGCAAATGCTTGTTGATCTTAGCCAGTGTTACTTAGGCAAAGACCACGGTTTTCACACTAAATTGATAATGTTATTCCCTCAGAAACTGAGGCCTCGCTTACTTAGCAGTATTCTTGAAGAACAGTTGGATGAAGAGTCTCCCAAAATTTGTCAGTTTGGAGCATTATGTTCTTTGCAGGGAAGGTTACAGTTATTGTTGTCTTCAGAACAGTTCATCACAGGACTTATTAGGATTATGAAGCATGAAAATGACAATGCTTTTTTAGCCAATGAAGAAAAAGCAGTAAGACTTTGCAAAGCTTTGCGAGAAGGTTTGAAAGTTTCCTGTTTTGAGAAGTTGCAAACGACATTAAGAGTTAAAGGGTTTGCTCCTATTCCCCACAGCAAAAGTGAAACATTTGCTTTCCTGAAGAGATACGGAAATGCAGTAATATTGCTTTATATACAGCATTCTGACAGCAAAGACATAAATTTCCTGTTAGCATTAGCAATGACCTTAAAATCTGCAACTGACAACCTGATTTCTGATACCTCATATTTAATTGCCATGCTGGGTTGTAATGATATTTACCGGATCAGCGAGAAGCTTGACAGTTTAGGAGTGAAGTACGACTCTTCTGAGCCATCAAAACTTGAACTACCAACACCTGGCACTCCTATACCAGCTGAAATTCACTATACACTTCTTATGGATCCAATGAATGTATTTTACCCTGGTGAATATGTTGGTTACCTTGTTGATGCTGAAGGTGGTGATATATATGGATCATATCAACCTACTTATACCTATGCAATCATAGTACAAGAAGTAGAAAGAGAAGATGATGAAAGTCCCAGTTTTCTTGGGAAGATTTACCAGATTGATATTGGATATAGTGAATATAAAATAGTGAGCTCTCTTGACTTATACAAATTTTCAAGACCGGAGGAAAGTTCTCAAAGCAGGGATAGCACACCTTCTACCCCAACCAGTCCTACAGAATTTCCTGCACATGGACCAAGGACAATTCCACCTCTCTTCACTGGTAGAGAGAGCCACAAAACAATATCCTCAAAACATCACTCTCCAAAAAAGATAAAGTCAAACTCGTTGCCAGAGATATTAAGAGAAGTGACATCTGTGATTGAACAGGCTTGGAAGCTTCCAGAATCTGAAAGAAAAAAGATTATTAGGAGGCTATATCTTAAGTGGCATCCAGATAAAAATGCAGAGAATCTTGATATAGCTAATGAAGTTTTCAAACATTTACAGAATGAGATTAACAGGCTAGAAAAACAGGCCTTTATGGATCAAAATATGGACAGAGCCTCAAGAAGACCATTTTCATCCTCTGCTTCTCGATTTCAGTCAGATAAATTTTCATTTCAAAGATTTTACACTTCATGGAATCAAGAAGCAACAAGCCACAAATCTGAAAGGCAACAGTATAAAGAAAAGTGTCCATCTTCCACGGGGCCATCTTACTCGCAACGCTTTTTTGTCCCACCTACGTTCAGGTCTGTTGGCAATCCAGTAGAGGCACGTCGATGGCTTAGGCAGGCCCGAGCTAACTTTTCAGCTGCAAGAAATGACCTTCATAAAAATGCCAATGAATGGGTGTGCTTTAAATGCTACCTTTCTACTAAACTAGCCTTGATTGCTGCTGACTATGCTGTGAAGGGCAAATCAGACAAGGATGTAAAACCAGCAGCCCTTGCACAAAAAATAGAGGAATATAGTCAGCAACTTGAAGGGCTTGCAAACGATGTTCAGACATTGGAAGCTTATGGAGTAGATAGCCTAAAAACTAGGTATCCTGACTTACTCCCCTTTCCACAGATTCCCAATGATAGGTTTACTTCAGAAGTTGCGATGAGAGTGATGGAATGTACTGCTTGTATCATAATAAAACTTGAGAACTTTATACAACAAAAAGTCTAAGTGATTTGAAGAGGTTAGGGAACTGTTTGGTCAAGCGCTTAGCTGTTTCGTGTGCCAGGATACAAATGTGATTGTGCAGATCGGTGGACATCCAAGAGGTTACACATTGCCAACCAGTTTAGAAGCGTAGCGCACAAAGGTGCGTGGTACTGAAGTACTTAGAATTGAAATTTATTTAAACGGGATTTTTTTTTTTTTTAACTGAGCCTGCTGTATAAGCAAACTGTAAAACATGAATATTTTTTAAAATTTGCAAGGAAACCAAGCTGCAAAAATTAGCTGTATGTACAATATTGTAATTAATTGGCATATTATTGAACTGCACTTTATATAACCAAAGCTTAGCTTTCTGTTAGATGAAGCCTGTAATTATAACACCTTACTAGATTTTATTTCATTTAATGTAATGTTTCCAAAATGGTAACGTCAGTTTCTAATGTACTAATCTTAAGACTGGACATACTATGAAATGGAAATAGGATGGAAATTAAAGTAACTTTGGAGGTATTTGCTCCAAGGCATTTCTGTAGTCTTTTGTGTTTTGTGGACATTCGTGTCACTCAAAGTAATACTCTTATCAGCTGGATCTGATTATGAATTTGCTGCAGCATCACATTGTGAACATTTAAAGGATAGTTTAGTACCTGTGAACTGGTACCGTTATTTTAATGCTGAATAATGATACTTGACTTAACATGCAACTTCATGTCATGCATTGATTGCATTTACTTTATTATAAAATAATTATTTAATTTACTTTTTTTTCCTAGAGTATGTCATCTTTTGTTTAATGAAAAATGCACGTGGATGATACAAAATTGGTGAACATTATTATATGGTGTTTTATAATTTTTTTCGAACACCAAAACTCAGTTTTCAAATGTCTAAATGCTTGACTTTCTTTTTTTTTCCCTGCGTGTGTGCCTTTGTGTGTGTACATATATCTATATATATATATTTTTCCACAAACAAACATTGATAATAGTACAATTCAGTAACCCATTTTTGGTGTACACTGAACACTGGTTTTTGTTACATGTTTAAAGGTGCTGCAATGTAATGCTGTTTATTTTGTTGTTCACTACAGCCCTAGAGAAGTCTGATTTTTAGTTCATGCTCTTTTTTTATAGTTTGTAATACTTTTGGTAATGTCATGCAATATGTTCAACATTAGCTATTTGTAAAAAAAATAAAAATAAAAATAAAAAAATGTGGAAGGTTAATGCTAAATTGAAGGATTTTTCTTTGCTGGATCAGCCACATTTAACATAAATGTTAAATATTTTCCAGTGACATGCTATTACAATTGTTTACTTGACAGCACAGTGAAACTGTAATTTAACTTACAGAATACAAAGGAAACTAAACGGCAGTGAGCTTGCAGGGCTGATGTTGTAATCCAAAAATAAAAAATCATGGTGAAGGCTTCTCCAGTTTTGTGCAAATTATAAAGGGCTTGTTCTTTTCTGAAAAATCTTGCAAATTGTAGTGGGGAAAAATGTGATGTTTGGAAAACGATGCTGCTTCTGATTGTGAAGCCCTATTATTACTTCTGCTATTAAATATTAAGTGCCATAATTTTAATAAAGAAAAATGCAAACATATATTTCAGTCTGATGTGTTTTGGTTTTACTAAATTCACCTGTTATTTCAAGCTTTCTTCTATATAGGTAAATGCACAACCTCTTTTCAATTAATTCTAAATAATTGCACCAATATTAAAATACTATTAAAAAGGAAAAATGCTTTTTTTTTTTTCCTTGCAATGACAAATGTTTGCAGTTTTCTCAAAGAAGTTGTACATTTTGCTGAATTTTGCAATAAATAGCATGTAAGCAAAACACAAATCCTGGTGTGCCATGAAATAAATCAGTTTAGTTAATTCCCTGTGTTTTTTAAACAGATTCCTTTGTGGCTCTTACTTACTTTGTGCGTTGTCAGATGAATAGTATTCAGGGTAAGCAAAATACTAACAAAAGGAAACAGTTCTCATTGTGTTTTTCAGTTTAAATGGAGCTAAAATATAAGGTGACACAGTAGCATGAAAATGAATAACAGACGAGCAACATAAACACTCCTGTTTTTAGGTGACAACTTGAGGAAGGAAATCGTTGAAGCACATAACTGTTTTGTAAGCAACATGTGTTGCCTTACCAATATGATTAAAACAGCTGTGTAGAATTACTAAACTATTTTGTTATGTTTTTATTTTGTAGAGTGCTGACACTGTGAGAAAAGAAAAGGGTCCCGGTCTTAGGAAGCTAATGGTCTGAAGTAATTTTAAATATTGAACCAAGGTGAGCAAGAAAACCTGAATGACAGAGAAAATTTCACTTGTTCCATTATTCTTGGGTTGATACCATCAGTCAGGTGCAATAAATTTTCCATATGGATGCGGAGAGATGGGCAAGAGTGATGTATTTTCTTTTTTTACTTGCTTAAGTCACGGTAACAGCCTAAATAAAGAGGCCTTGTGAGACCAGGAAACGATGTTGTGATAGAAACTGATTTCATAAATGCCATTTAATTCCTGTTTATAAATAAAAAACCAAAGCTCAAGTCACACTTCCTTTTGGCTCAGCTGAGCCTTGGGAAATGCAGAATAACATATTGGTTCCTAAGTTGGACATGGAAGCTCAGAACAGTTAGTATGTGACGATTCCTTAGTAAGGGTCTGTAGAAGTAAATGTTTGCATGTAGGTTCCACAAAAATATGTTGTACAAGTAATTCACGTTACACAAGTTCACATGAGAGAAAAGGTCTTTTCAGCCAGGTCTATGTCCTAGTTATCTTCCACAGGTACCAGTAACGTGTCTCGGAAAAGCAGCTTCAGTAGTCCTGTCTCCCAGGTGCGAAGTTTAGCAAAGATAAGACATACAGGACACTGATTTAACTCTACATTTAGTAGCTTAAATCTAAGGAACTGCAGCTGTAACAAGCCTTGGCAGGTGTTTCTTACTCTTTATCTTCTTACGGAAGCTTTAAACATTTTCCTCTAAAACAATGGCATTAGCACTGTTCTAAAAACCACTGGTCACTTGCCTTAGCAATTAGTGATGAGAAAAAGACCTTTTTAAATTTTTTTTTTTTAAGGAAATAGATTTTTGTGTAGCCAATTACCAAAAGAAAAATAAATAGTTTGTTGTATAAAGAAATGCAGTTTTGCAATATTTGTGCTCAAATCATCATCAAAATGAAGTTACTATAGTGACTTGAAAACTAGGATTTGAATTATTAGTGTAAGGATTGCATTCACTTGGTACTTGTGTTGCTTTAAATGAGGCTTTCATAAAATCTATGGTAATTGCTCCAACTAAAGTAAAGGAAGGTAGTACCAACTTTGAGATTTCCTATTGCTGGTTTTGAACACTGAGGATGGCTGGATTGGTGTTGTGGAACACAGGCAGAAGTGATAGTTCAAAAATAATGAAACTTGACAGCCAAAGTAGATGTTTTCGTTTCAAGAAGACACACATTTTTGTCACATGGAGGTGTTTGTCACTGAGTTTTTCATCAAAACTCTTTATCTTTTCTTTGGTTTCCTTTCTGGATGATTAATTCTGTAGCACTGGCATGACTTTGTATTTACTTTCACCTACTACAGATGAAGACCAAGGAATTCCAGCTATCCAATGAAACCTAATTGTAAAGCCTTTTCTAAATTCTGGAAAGTAAATTTTTAGTTGGGGCCATGTTTTTAATTCATATTTTTAAATAATGTAGAGGTCACATTCTTAGAGTCTGGGGAAAGTGGTTTTTTTTTTTTTTTTTAATAAAATGAAAATATTCATTTAAGCTGTGCTTCATTTAACACAAAAGGAGAAGCAGACTTTTCAAAATGTATAAAGTTTATTCAAGAACGCAGTTTTCAGTTAATTCTTGCAATTTCCTTTTGCATAAAGCTATATAAAGATAGACAAATGTCAACACTAAAGGACTGTGAAATGGCAACAGAGAGGATTGTGTTTGGGCAATCACCAGTAAAGTTTTACTACCATTTTGATATTTTTACTTTTCCACTGTAACAATCTCAACCAGTTACAAGAGCTGCTGTAAATAATTATTTTTGAGGAAAAAATATGCAAACACAAAGTTTAGTATGCTGGGTAGTGTGTTTTTTCTTCTTCTTTTGGATAACAGTTTTGAAAATAAACTAGAGCTGTGCATACTCTCACTTTCCTGTGCCATAATTTTCTATTAATCTGTAACTAATTACTGAAGTTCGATTCAAGTAGAAACAATTTTTAAGTATTAAAGAGAGATGGAAAGACATCCACATGGAGATAGCAGAAAGGATAATTTAGTAATGTATGAACTATACTGAGATTAACAACAGTTCAGATTATAGCATCAGCAGATTACACTGTGGTAATTTCAGCATAAACTTTGTTTCTCCACTAACCACAACTAAAAGAAAAAAAATCCCAAAAATGTTCTTCAGTGACAAGATGTTGCCATCCGTGCTTTAGAAAACCTGCACAATTTACATAATGCAACTACATTTTCAATGTCAATTTTGTAGCAGAATGAAGAATGACATTTAAACAATGAGGAGGGGCGAGCTGGTGATTTGGATGATGGCAGAGCTGAGGATGAGCAGACCTGTTTAGTTTTCTGTACTACTCGGAATCTAGCTGTGAACTGAGGCGAGTCCAAAAGCTTTACTTCCCCAGGAAAGGCAGTCGTTATTGCAATGTCTCACTGAGGTGCCATAGTGCTTAGCAGTGTCACTAGTCGGGGAATGGCGCCCCGGGTTTCCTGGCTGCACACCACAGCTTTGGAAAAATGTTAACTAAAACAGAGCAACTTCAACGCATGAAGTTGCAACGGAAGTGGCTTCCAAATACCCAGTAGTTTAGGGGTTAGGTTACTCTTGTGATACGTGGAAAGCTGGATTCAATCCCTTGCTCTGTACTAGCTGGCGAATCGCATTTGAAAAAGTGCCTCCAAAACCAAAGCTTAAAACGCATGACTTAGAATGCTACGTTTCCATTGCCAGCGGAATAGGCAGATTGTAACTAAGGTACTTATTTACAGTATCTGGCTACCATCTAGGGATTAGAGTAGGTGAATGAGTAGTTTGGTACCACACGGCAGTGAGTGTTATGGTCTTTGATGTCAGAAACATGGGTATGAGGACATTTCAAATGCCTTTGAAACTAGACAGTGGCTGAATTCTCTAGGGACTGAAGTCCCAGTTTTGCTGTTGTACTACATCTATAAAATACTGTAGACATTACAGCC